TTCTAAATTCCCATTGAGGTTCACTGAACACCATTGTTGAAGAGAACCCACCATGCCCCCAGGACGATATTCCTGCTCAGAGCAGCCAATGCATACAGAGGACCATAGGGCCTGCCCCTCCAAAAGCCACAGACATGACGTCCCTCACTGACCCATAGCACTACAGGGGACAACAGTGGAGACGCAGTGTGGGAATTGTGCCTGATCTGACCCCACCACACTGAGGCGAAACACTAAGGGTGTGCAACAGAGCAGCAGGGGATCCAAGCCATGAAGTCCCCCCGGAAACACCAAAAATAGACTTTGGGCCCAGGGTGTGGCACCCATCCGACTCAACTGGAAAACACTCCTACAGAACTGGAACAATTTATAGGCTTTTCCTTCTTTCTTTCTCTCTTTCTTTCTTTTGTCATTGATTTTTTGTTGTTGTTGGTTTGTTTTGATTTGCCTTGTTTTTGTGCCTATTATTGTTTCTGCATGTCTATCTAGATAAAATAGGTGGGATAAACTATCTGGAGGAGAAAACAATGGGACCGGGGGGACACAGGAGAGGGTGAGGTAGGGGGAAAGGAAGTGGGGTGTCAACAAACTCAGGGACAAGGGAACAAGTGATCTAAAATTGAGGGCGAAAGGGCATAGGATGCCTGCTGGGGCTTAATCAAGGGCAATGTAGCTGAGAGGAATTACTGAAACCCAAACGAAGGCTGAACATGATAGTGGGACAAGAGGAAAGAAATAGAAGAAAAGGACATTTACAGAGGTCTAATTATAGGCATGTACATATGTAAATATATTTATATATAATGATAGGGAAATAGAGCTATATACATATATCTATATGTTAAGTATTAAGGTAGCAGATGCACATTGGGCCTCTACTCAAGTACTCCCTCAACACAAGAACACGCTGTTCTAATAACCCAGCATTCTGTGATGCTCACCTTCCCTGACAGGATCACTGAAGACAAAATGAGTGCATAAGTAAATTTGGTGAAGAATGCTGATGTCTTCAGCCGTTTACAGAGACATGTTTAAACACAGTGTCTTTGGCATAAACCTGTAAACACACACACACACAAAATAGACTATTGAATTGAGGTGACCATGGGAAAATGCTATTTGGCAGGAACTCTTTAATCCTCTCCAAGTCCACACTAAATGAAACTTTGACCCCTGCTGAGGTGTGGCCTCCTAAGAAGAAGTGGTTTTTAAGATGTACAAAGGAGGGAGCAATAAATGGTTCAGAAGCATTAGACAGAGATGCCACAACATTGCTTGGGAGACCAGATTAAACGATTATCTGACTTCAGAACAGATGGCAGGCTGTGGCCTGGTGTTTATCTTTAGTGGTCTCATACAGTATTTGTCCTCTTGAGACTGGCTAACCTAATCCATGTAGATGATATAAACTAAAATCGCCAAAAATTGTCTAGAATCTAACCCCAGATGCAACTTCTGCAACATTCCTTTGATATCCTTCCAGATATGATTTTCAAACATGTAAGCACATATATAATATGTTGCATAAATATTTTTTATGATAAAACCAAAATGATGTAAACATTTTAATTAATTAGAAAAATTTAGGCACAGACTGTGTTATATGGAACATTAAAATTAAAATATATTTAGGTGACAATCTCAAGTGAAAGCAGTGATTTATGTAGCTAGATTGAAAGCTGCTATTTCTGCACTACAGGACAGGTGGACAGACACCACCAGCTTGGGGAGTGATACAGTGAACGCCCATTCTAATAAGAAAATGGGAGTGGTTGGACAGATGTTTGTTCTTGACATTGGTGAATAGTCATCTGAAAACACGAAAAAAGGCCACGTTAAATGCTACATATTATCGCACATCTGTTCAGAGCGCTCCCTGGAACAGAGGACACAGTGCTCTGCTGTGAATGCATTTTCTAAAACCAGACTACCAGTAGTCCTGGTGGGTCACATGATCTTTATCAGACAGCTGTCTTGTTGGCGAATAACTACTGACTCCGTCACGACTAACAAGCTGGACATTTTTCAATTTTCAGTAAGTCAGCATTTTCAGGTTCTGAAAGGCCTTTTTGGCAATAACACCTTTAGTATTTTCTTTTCAACTAAAAATAGATACTTTATTAATAAAATAGATACTTTATTAAACTTATGATCTTTAGTTACCAAGCACCGGTTTGTCTTGTTCATCGTATGATAGCTAGCACCTCACATGGTCCCTGGCATGTCACGGGCTGTGTGGACGAAGGGACACTCACACATGGGGTCAACCATGAATTGGCATCTACATGGCAAATAACAAAATGACTAATTGTTTAGAAAATGTATCACAGAAATATTGCAGGAGAGATACTTTCTACTGAAAATTATTTATCTGAAATTCTAATTTACTGTATGGGACATGTTGGGTTTTTTTTTTGCCTAATCTGATAACTCTAGTTAACTTATTGTGTGAAATTACAGCATAGTTACCTACTACGTTAGTCATTTATCAACAGCTACTATTTCCTCTGTTATTAATGATGGATTGATCTCCTACAATGTGCCAGGAACGTATCTATGCATGAAGAACTCAACAAGAAATAAAACTGGCCAACTCTCACTTCATAGAGCGTGTATTTCAGTGAGATATGGGGGAAGATGAAAAACAAGCAAGTATTAAACGGAAACTAAAATATAAGGCCGTGGTCAATGCCATGTAGACAGTCTGGGGGAGAAAAGAGGTTGTAAGACTAGCCAGTGTCTGCACTCCTCTGGCTTCATGGGGGGTGGGGGGGGTGAGGTGGTGAGGAGAAGGCGGGGATCACTGTCAACAACAGCCCTGGGAGGATTCTTAATGAGGTGACGGTAGTGCACACCACCCCCTCTGTTCTCCTGTACCAATTCTCACCCCAACATTTCTCCCACACATATTCTACTTGAGAATTGGGTTCTAAAGACCATTGCAATGGCCAAACAGACTTTAGAAACAGTACTTATGATTATAGGGTTTATGAGGGAAGGTAATAGATTATAATTTGGGATCAGAGATGCCCAGGATACAGTTCTTCCTTTCAAACCAGCCTCTTCTCAGAGCCCACCGGCATGCCCACTCTCATGCCCTCCTCCTCTTAGTCACTAGACTTGTTGGCCTCAGCCCTGCTCTGCCAATGCTGCCTGCTTTTTTAGCACTGACAAGCGCCCAAGAGCACCCCACTACACTATGAGCCTCAGCCTAAAGCAGTGGTGCTCCACCTTCCTGCCGTGACCCTTTCATGCAGTTCCTCATGTTCTGGTGACCCCCGACCCTAAAATTATTTTCATTGCTACTTCATAACTGTAATTTTGCTACTGTTATGAATCATCATGTAAATATCTGAGATGTAGGATGTATTTTCATTGTTACAAATTGAACATAATTAAAGCATAGTGATTCATCACAAAACAATATGTAATCATATATTGTGAAATATTTATTTCTAATTACAAGTAAATGAAATTTTGTCTTGAAGCATGGTGTAGCATGGGTAACAGTCTTTATACCAGGTATTTGTATGTGGGTGTATCTGCACGTGGGCGGACCCACCTGGAGATGGATAGAGGATCCGTGTCTTGGTTCCTAAGGCCATCGGAAATATGTTTTTCTGCAGGTCTTAGGCGACCTCCATGAAAGGCGACCCCCAAAGGGGTCATGACCCATGGGTTGAGAACTGCTGGTCTAAAGGCTCTCACCAATAGCTCAATGCATTAGCAAACTTTGTTTCTCCAATTAAGTGCCTTGAGCCACCTGACTCCCCAAATAAGCCCCTGTGGGCCAGCGGACTCTCTGCTCCCCTCTGTCTTGTGCTCCTGAATCTGCTTCCTCAGCTGCTGCTGCGTCTTTTTCACTTCGTCACAATCCTGTTTGTCTCAGATGACAGCTCTGTCCTGGACTGAGGCAGTTCAGTACAGGGATCAGGGTCCAAAGATCATACTCCTGGATCTTCTTTCTTGATGATAGTGAGAACTCCCATTGCTCTTTCTCAGGAGGCTCATTTATGTCTAGTGAAATGGCAAAACTGACTCAGTCCCATGTCAGGATCCCGTGAACCCTATTCCATGCTCCCACACAATCATTTGGTTGGTGTTACAAAGGCTATGGCTGGCAGAGCCACCCAAGCAAATGCACTGAACCACCAAAGGGAAGGTGGACCAAGGACTACCTAAGAGGAGGGGGTTCAGAAAGGCGCCACTCTATCCTGAGAAGAAGTCAGTTGTGCAAAAGGCCAGGGGTAGGACATGAAAGGAAGACTTAATAGCAAACAAAAATGACTCTAACCAGAAATCAATTTGGCTGTAATAAGAAAAAAATGAGAGCATTGGATTGTAGTGGGAAAAGGGGCTGAGGAAGGAGTGGTGAAAACCTGGTACAAGAAAGATGTAAGCAAATGAATCATGAGCCAAATCACTTAGAGATTTGCATGGTATGGAATCTGGATTTTGTTTAATTAGAATGGAAATCACCGGGGAGATAGATTCAACCCTTTTGGCCCTCACTCCCCAGCAGAGACTTAATGTACTGAGAATCCACTGAAACACCAATGAGAAAGTATCAGCCCTAATATATGGTTTGAGGTTGACTGCATTAAAGATTTGAATTGATGAATGGTTAAGGCTGCTCATCTGGAAGTGGTTAAGACAGGAAGCAAAGTGATCAGACATATTTTCCAAAGATGACTGTCATGCTAGGTAGAAAAGGCATACAAAAGGCAAGAGTGAATGTAGAGTTGCCACCAGTTAGGGGGCAACCCCAAAACAAAGATAAGGGGTGGCTTGGACTTCCAAAAGGTTGGGGGCAGAGGTGGGTGCATTAGAGATGTTTCTTGAAAACAGCAACAATAGTACTTATGAATGATTTTAATTCTGGAATTAAGAAAAGTGTTATGTGAGAAAGGGAGGAATCTGGGTGTTTCCTACTTTCAGATGCTCTGGTTTTACTTATGGCCCTCCATGTAAGGATGCATTGAGCTTCTATGACTTTCCTTCCTAGTTGCCTATATTGGCATCCTCGGTGGTTAGCCTCTATTTCCTTGAACTCACGGATGTCTTCAAACCTGTGCACTCTGGATTCAGCTGCTATGACCGCAGTCTTAGTATGCCGTACATTGAACCAACCCAGGAGGCAATACCATTCCTCATGTTGCTTAGCTTGGCTTTTGCTGGACCTGCAATCACGGTAAGAATTGCCCCAAATTATGCCTGTCAGTCCCCGAACCTAAAAATAATCATGTTAATGTAATCAGTAAGTTGGGTGGGGGAGAACAAAAAGCAAAAGCTAAAATAAGTCTATCTTCAAAGTATTTAGACTGCTTTCTGTAGGCATAGTTTGAAACTGCTCGCATTCATATTAAAAGTTAAAGAAAAGTATGTGATTACAAAAGTGATGGTGAGTCATGAATATATACATTCATAAGTTAATTTAGAAAAGTCTTGTCACTGAATAATTATTGAGCGGTTAATATGACATTTGTGACAAACAGTAGTTCCTGTCTTTTTGTGTGTTTATTTGGTATTGAAGTCTGGAAAACTATGGGAAAGAAAAGACAAATAATTGCACCTCCCATTAGCTTTCTTGCCCAAAGTGCATGTTAATATCCTTTCTCTAACTCATTGCCACGGAGTCGATCCCAACCCATAGAGACCCAGTAGGGGAGACAGGGCAGAACCACTGTGGGTTTCTGAGGCTGTAAATTTTCAGTGGAGCAGGAAGCCTCCTCTTTTCCCCATGGATCAGCTGAATGGTTCAAACCGCTGGCTTTTTGTTTAGCACACCAATGCGGAGCCTACTCGACCACCAGGGTTCGTTTTCATGTGTCTACTAAGATATCCTTTTGAATTGATTAGGAGCATTGAGCATCAAAATTGAAATGTAAAGTTGGCAGACTTCACTTTCCTGGCAGATACACGGGAACAATTCGATATTCAGACTCAAAAAAGGCATCTGCATTTTAAACATGTAACATAAATGAGAAATGCACTAGCCAGCTGGAATTAAACAACAATAACAAAAAAAAGTTGTTTTAAAGTTAGTATATGCATTATAGAACATAATTTTAGGGAAAATCATAGATTAAAAATGAATAAACCCTTTCCATCATTTTTCTACTCCCAAGATAGGAGAGGCAAAAAAGAAATCATGTTCAAGGTTAATATTTCTTTTTACCAGGAGCAACTCTTACTTTCTTGTTATCATCTTTGTGAGTGCCAGAATAAGTGGCTGTTAAATTAAAAACCGTTTGAATGAAGATTTTACAGGATTCCTTAATGAATTGGCCTATTCCAGTTGTGTACATCATCAGTTGAAGGAAGAAAAAAAACAAAATTTCAATAGACCTTTGAAACTGCTTTTCTTTAGCCATTGATTTATTGTTATTTTTTAGTTTCCCATATGCTAAATAATTATAGCATCCTAGTTACACAATAAATTCATAAAGTAAAATACTCTCCAAAGATATAATTAGAACTCAATTTTCTATAGACCTTTATCACAGTTAAAAGGTCTCAAAATACTTTGTAAATTAATGAGCTATTCAAACTGCAGTGAGCCCAGGGTTATTAGAATGGTAATGATGTAGTTGGAAGTAGCTGAGATTCTGAGCCTAATAAAACATCCTAACAGGGCAGCATTGCTCAGGAGAGCACCGTTTTCCCATTATTTCCCTAAAAACTTACAAGAACAGCCATAACCAAAAATGTATCATCTTGTCATTTGAGAAGAGCAAAATGTTTTACACTATCAAACTCAAAAGCATCTCTCCTATATTGAATTGTAATGTCTGAATTCATTGTTATCAATATACTTGAAGGAGAACATAGCACTGTAAAAATATCCATGATTTTATGGAAATTATTGTGTAAATATGTAACCATGTCAATAATTTACTTTTTATATTTCTAGGCTCTCTTCTCAGAGTCTTTTCTCAAATTTCTAGGAAAGCAGGGCTAATTGACACTGTCGCTGCCAATTGACAGATATCCCTTCCTTCCCTGACAGTAACACATCCTGAATGCAAGAGCCTTGGCTCCATCACCGAGCCCTTTCCCGTAAAGAAAGAAGGAGAAGAAGTCTCATAGGTAGTTTAGGAGAGCTTTCTGAAAGATTCTGGTTTGAATCTTTTTTTCCTAAATTCTGAAAAGTGTAAAAGAAAATCCACTGTGGACCACTTCCCCCAAACTGGGCCGTAGGTGCCCGTTTCAAACTACCTTCCACAAACATCTTGCCCTGTGGTATCAGCAGGTAAACGCTCCTGAAACCTCACTGCTAGTGAGTCCATGTGGACTTTCTATACTATAGAGCCTATAGGGTTTCTGAAGCTGTCGATCTTTTTGAAAATGAAAAACTCATCTTTCTCCTGCGACTGGTGGGTTCAAACAGCTGCCCCAGCCGTTAGCAGCCCAGCACATAGCCCACTTTTCCACCAGGGCCCTTCCATTAGGTGTCACTGAATCCCTGGTTTTCCACAGGGGGCCCTAGCTGGCGAATGCCTCGAGGGAATAAGAGAGGAACCAGGGAACTATTTGTACCATGAGTCTCTAATGTCCTCTATCACAAGGTTCTGAGGTAACTCGCTTGGTAGTAAGACAAACTTTGACTCTGCTGATATCAACTATTCAAATATTTGTACTCATATTACTCTTCAAAAACTTTGTATTTTTTTTTCTAATTTAATTTTCTTTCTTTCTGTGAGGTCTACTCTCAACACAACAGCTGTCCCCGTAGTTTCTGCAGTCATCTTTGCTGCAGCCACACTCTGTTTCTCATCTCGCTACATCTGTTACTCCTTGCTCCCTCCTTTTTCTCCATCTGAAAGGTGCAAATCACAAATAGACTACTAGCCCCTGACTTCCAAGGACGCTGTTTCTCTTTTACCATCATGGTGACAGCAGCCTATTTTTAAAATGGGGCGGTGTGGAAATGGTTTCTAGAATAAACTTGTGCAAGAAGGGGTTTGATGTTTACTCAGTTCACATGGAGAGAAAACAAAGCAATACAACAATTCCATTCTAACAATAATCCTTAAAAGGACAGTCTTATGGACAAAATAAAGATCAACTGTTTTTTTTACACCGATCATTTCGTGTTTGCTTCTCAGGTTTTTTCTCTATGCTTTGAGAAATTAAAAAATATATATCACTCATGATACCTTTTGTATGTGAAACTATCCATGCCTGTGAAATTAATAGTACTTTCCTTAAATTAGAAAATATTTCCTTAATATTCAATCTTCATTTACTCTAGTGTAATAATGAAGCAAGCACTTTTCTTGGGTCCTTGGGAGATCATTTCTCAGAGAAAGCAACATGGAATATGTGATTTTATGATACACTGCCATGGAAATTACATAAATTTTAAAAAATGAATAATTTTCTATCACTGACAATACACTTGGATTATATATTGTTAAAGGGTGACTCTATTTAATGTCATAGGAAAATTCTATTAGAATTTGATTAGTGATCCTTATCTTTAGTACACATTAGAAGTCCCAATGCTAATTGGGGTTTCCAAAAACCAATCACTACAAATTTGAATACTGTGGATACTATAATAAGTATTAAACTATTTGGGGTGATGTTCTGTTTTTGTTTTGCTTTTTCCCTTGATGCTTTTGTTGCTGTTTTAATGGGAAAGAGTTTCTAAATTGAGAATTCACCCAGTGACAGACATCCCAAGAGCAATACCGACAGAACAATAAGCGAGGCATTTCCGTTCAACATCTCCTCTGGAGCTGAGTCTCTGTGGAACCTCTCCCAAAACCTGTCTGTGATATTCGAACAACAACAACAAATTTTGCTGTTTCTGTTCAGGATTATGTACAGCATAAACAGCATGTTGTGAGACGATGCTTGTCATAAACTGTCTTCAGTTTACAAAGGACAAAACAACAACAAATATTTTATTGTCAAAACTTAAACCCTGAAATCGCATTGCAGCACAATAGCATGCCTTTCAGAGTGAGGAAATAAGTAGGAGCACTTGGAAAGGCATTAGGACGTGTCTCTCCTCCCCCTTAGTACTATCCTACCTTGAAAGCAAAGGAAGTCATTTTGAAAATGTGTGCAAGGACATAGAGATCAAGGTTAAATGAATCCAAGTGTGAGGAGGAAACGAATGTGCTTCTGAGGGGAAGGGCTAGTTGGGTCAGGTCAAAACACTGACAAAAGGTCTGCCTCTATCGTTCATCACCACTTCTCCTGGAGTCTTTCAACAAATGTGGTCTGAGCGTATTCCACCAACCTCAGCTTCTGGTGTAGCTCGTCACGTGCTTCTTCTTCGCTGAGCACAGGCCACTGTGTTTCCATGTCTAACTTGACATGTTAATGGAGGGTAATAGTTTTCATTATGTACCAAGGATCAATTGAATCTTCAATAAATGAAAAAAGAGTCATTTTGATTCTTCTTACACTGATTGATTAAAGTAGTCAATCATACACCTTTGTCACATGATTTTTCACAGTTATTGATATAATTCCATTTCAATGGGTGATTCATAGTACACAGATTTAAACATTTGAAGAATTGTACACAGATTGTATTAACTATATAACTAAATATATATTTAGTTCGAATTGTGCCTACTGGTTTGAAGCAGGAGATCATATTATTAATGACATGGGTTAAAAACTATAATTTTAAACACTTCTTAAAATCCATATTAAGCTAGTGATGAGATTTGGAGAAGTTTCCCTCTTAAACTTGTTTCAGGCACTTCACATGATGATATTCTTCGTAGTGGCTTGATTACTGCCCCAAAGGGACTGTTGATATTTGTTCAATCCTGCTTTTCATCTCTCATCTCATTTATGCAAACAATATCTAATTTCCAAGCAATTTCTTCTCAAGTATTTGAAAAATGTTTATGAAACAAAAACTCATTTTAAGTCTTGCTGCTATTGTACAGAAAAACCGACAGTCTCAATGCCTGTGCTAGGTGCTAACCATGAGTCCTATGGTTCCAGGTGCAGGTCTCAAAAGTGAAGGTGAAAACACAGGATAAGTGGTTCTTCCCCAGGAGATCCTAGCCTAGTAAGAAATTTTCAAAGGAATAATTAAAGTACACTTTAATAAAGTTGTGCTAGAGGGAAGGGCAAGATGCTAGGGAGCTAAATAGAAGGGGGCATAGTTCAATTTGTAGTAAAGGACACCAAAGAAGAGCTCCAGACGACACTGATATTCCAAAAGTACTGAGTTCATGGACTCAATGCTGTCCTCTTTCTAGGGACTCTTCCTCGTTTGAAGGCAGTCCTTCTTACACTACAGCATGGTTTTGTGTCCATTGTCACCAGATGTTCTAAATGCTCACTGAGTACACAGGAAATACCTAGCTGATGCATATCACTAGATTCTTTCACAATCTGCATTTTCTAGTGTGGTAGCTCATTGTCCTATGTGGCTATTTAATATTAAATTGATTTAAATGAAATCAATTTAAGTTTTAATTAATTAAATGCACTGAAATAAATTTTAAAATTCATTTCCTCAGCTTTAGTAGCTTGCCTTTATGTATTCAGTAGTCACATGGGCCAGTGCAGAAAACACTCCCATCACTGCAGAACATTTATTGGACCACTCTACTCCAGATAGTACCTGCCCTTGCATCTGCTTTCCATGGATTGACCCTGTCCTCAATCCCAAATTAGTTTACTTAACTAATCTACCTATGAAATATTGCTGATCTAATTCTAGTGCCTGTTTTATTCTCTCTCCAGTAATTTCATCTTTTCATGCCTTTAGGAATAGATCCTAGTGGTGTAGTGTATTTGGGCTACTAATGACAAGGTAAGCAGTTCAAGTACACCAGCCTCCCTGGGGGAAAGATGAAGCTGCCCGCTCCTGTGAAGACTGGCTCCCTCAGAAACCTGCTGGGGAAGCTCGACTCTGTCCTGTAAGGTCCCTGTAAGCAGGAAAGGACTCCGTGGCTATCAGTTTTGTTTTCTGGAGGCAATGAAATGCCAAGACTCTATATTAAAGACAGAATCTCCATGTGATTAATCTATTGGATATCATTCGGTCTTGTTGGGCAAAGTATCAAAACCTGAATGTTGCAAGCACTTTAAAGCATCAGAAGATGATGCCAGAGGATCACACATATAACGGCCTGTAGGGTTATGGAATACCCAACTAACGCCCTTCAACGAGTCCTGGATTGCTTCCTCTCACTGCTTGCTCACTCCAGAGAAATTGCTTTAGACGTCACAAGCTTTTAAGAAAAAATATAGCTTTCCCTTGGTAACGTGTTGAGACATGAGATATAATTTTTCTGTAAGTGCTTAGTTCCTTCCTAATGCACTCATGTCTTGCAGATTATGGTCGGGGAAGGAATCCTCTACTGCTGCCTGTCCAAAAGAAGGACTGGGGTTGGACTGGAGCCCAACATCAACGCCGGAGGCTGCAACTTCAACTCCTTCCTGAGAAGAGCTGTTAGATTCGTTGGTGGGTGTGAGGAACCAATTACAAAGAAAGACTTTTTTTTTTTTCCTGGAATAGCAATCTTATATTTAAGTGCACATATTAAGTCTTCAAAGCTATATTTTACATGTATAATTACAGATACACGATGAGCTTTACATTATGCAAGGAACTGTGAGAACACCAAGAGTCTAGCTTTGAATCCGAAACGTGCTCCTTACAGTTACATTCCTTGTTTTCAGCATTAGCATGCCATATCCTTAAGGATATTTTATCTTTGCTCAGGTTGAAATGAATTTACTTTAAAGAAAATTGTCTCAATAAATGTGTGTTCAGTTTTCTTTGTTTTAAAACAGTAAACAAATGTTAGCATGTTGATTTGAACAAGTAACTCTTCAAAAATTATGCTAGCCACATGAATGGTTCCATTCACATTGTCCTGGAGTGGTTGCATGCAGAAGTTACTGCAAATGAAATACACAGAGAACACAGCACCCATGATTCTTTTTTCTTGGATTTGTTCTCTGGCTTTGCCTCTTTTTTTTTTTTTGGCAACTCATAGAAAATCCCGTGGGAAGTTCCATTCCTGGCCAACCTACCTCAAGCATAGCCACCACTAGTCCTATCAGTGGAGCCTCCCCTGGGGCTGCGATGTTCAACACAGTGGAAGAGTGCTGAGAGTAAGATAAATTAGGAAGTAAGGCCTGGTAATTTACTTCTAAAAAAAACATCAGCCAATGAAAAACCATTGCCTGACCCATTTATGCATAGGGTCACCTTGAGTTGAGGTCAAGTCATTAACAGCTAATCTGTTCCAATAAATAATGCATGTCAAACTCATAGAGCAAAAGAGACACCTTAGCAGGGTCACAAACTGTGGTCAGGAAATCAAACCCAAGGGCAAGTAGCTAGTACCTGAGAAAATTGCCCTCCTGTAACAAAATGTGGAAGATGCTGGTAGTGGTGATGACAGGAGAGAAGGAAAACTATAGAAGGGTAATGTGTAGGCTGGCCACTTTGATCTGAAAGAGTTCACTGAAGAAACACCCAGGGACAATTCATCATGATTTGATGGGGGGGAATCACGAATCAGAATCCAGAGTGTCAAGGCAAACCGCATGGAGCATGTGAGTTCCTGATCCTGTGCGGGTGAGCGGACAAGTAGACTCCCAGTGGTTGGGCCAGGAAAGGGACCTCTTGCAGAAATATGGTGCACTGGCATGCATCAACATTTGTCGTTGTATGGGTTAAGCCAGGAAGGAGCATTCCGAACATCTAGGCAAGCTGGAGAGGTGGGATTATCTCTAGCACTGGGCTTGGCTGCTCTCTACTTTGGTTTGATTAACATTGTTAATGTAGTGTTAATAAACATGGCTGGTGATGACTCAAGGTCAAGATTAGCTACTCAATACCACTCTCTTTCTTCTTGCTTTATAGGTGTTCATGTGTTTGGACTCTGCTCCACAGCTCTCATTACAGATATCATACAACTGTCCACAGGCTATCAGGCACCGTACTTTCTGACTGTGTGCAAGCCGAACTATACCTCTCTGAATGTATCTTGCAAAGAAAACTCTTACATTGTAGAAGATATTTGCTCAGGATCTGACCTGACAGTTATCAACAGTGGAAGGTTAGAAACTGAGACCTGAAACAATTCCAAGTCAATATTGCCAGTGTTCAGTAACTGGTCGGTGTATTCTCGTAAACCCAGCTATTTTGGTCATAAAGATTTGGGCATTATTTTTCTCCTCAATTCCATGATCTCTTTAGTGATCATTCAGAGAATCCCGCTGGTGAGCCTTCCAAACCCTTCTGTCTCTGAATTGCAGTCTCACATTTTTATCTCCAGTTTCCCCACTCACATTTTGTGATCTACCCTGCTCTTGCTTTGGTTTCAGGTTTACCCCAATAGGTCTCATTTAGGATATTTATTATCACTAATGGTTTACAGTCATTGTGGCATTTAATATGGCTTGAAAACATTCCACGTTTTGCACTAGTTTAACTGAAAAGGCTACATATCTGTGATATTTACATCTCTGGTGTATGATAATTGATGATGTAAATTTTGGTACCAATGATGCCTGGGATTTTACATTTCTTAAATAAACTTGGTATATTTTTATAACTACTGGCCTTGCATAAGTATTGACATTTTCAAGAAACTACCCACGCATTATTTTTTCAATCAGATCGAATTCAAAAGCCCCCAAACACCAAAATCCTCAACTTTTATTCTAAAGTGAAACTGACTATAATATATAGGAACAATTTACAATGTCTTCCAATCAGCTTTCCCTTTCAGTCAGTATTTCAACAGGCTAATGACGTGGTCCTTTAACAAGGACTGTGACATGTGCCTTCATGTTAGTGCAACACGAAACCCTTGAATACTGAATACGGAGGACCACTAGCAAATTTGGTCCACAGCCCTTCCTTCCACCACCACCACCCCCAAAAAAAAAACCCTTAATGTAAATTAAAGTTATTCCTCACTGCCTTGTGGTTTAAAGTTGAACATTTTAACCTTCCAATATTTGAGATGGTCCCTAATGGCGCATCTGAATGAAAAGGCATAATTTAACTGTATTTCTTTGGCAGAAAGTCATTTCCTTCTCAACATGCGACCCTCGCAGCATTCGCAGCTGTGTATGTTTCGGTAAGTAACTGGATCTTCCTCACTAAAGCTGTGTCCTTCAGAAATCAGAGGAATAACTGTTGTCTCCGGGTGCCTAGATTATATGACCATGTAATAACAGAACCGTAAACTTCATAGTCCGATACGAGAATTTTTCTATGGTATAATAATATTTACCAGCAAAAAAGAGAAAGTCCCTTAACAAGATGGATTAACCCAGTGGCTCCGACATAGGAACGATTGTGAGGATGGCGCTGGAGCAGGAAGTGGTCAGCGATGTTGGACATAGGGTTGCTGTGAGTTAGAATGATCACAACAACCACATCTGTGTGACTGACTTCATATTAGAATCCACAGGAGAGTGTGTGAACTATGAGAGGTTACCTTTATTAAAACAAAATTTTAAAAACTGATGTAAGTACTTACAAACACGCACACTTTACAGTCAATATTCATGTAACATTGGTTCTAAGTCAGTGTAAATTTGATAAATGTTGCATAATAAGTCATTGTAGCTGATTAACACAATAGTTCATAGTCTTTTGTGATAACTACCGAAAATTGTCACAAGCAACTTGGAAATGAAGTGGATATTTGACTAATCTTTTATTTATTTGATGAATTCTGACATATTTCTCTACCGGTGTAGAGAAGGGAGAATAAAACAGCAATGTTGATGTTGAGTATACCAGCTAGGCTTTTACGTCTAACTTTTACTTGATTATAACTTCATATAAAATGTCTTTGTAGTAGGCTTAACCTATTTCTTTCATTTTTTTAAAGATGTACTTCAACTCAACATTAACGGATTCCTCTAAGCTTCTAAAACCTCTCCTGGTTTTTACATTTATCATCTGTGGGATCATCTGTGGTCTAACACGAATAACTCAGTATAAGAACCACCCAGTTGATGTTTACTGTGGCTTTTTAATAGGAGGAGGAATTGCTCTGTACTTGGTAAATAATGTTTTATTATTATTCAATACACTACAATTTTAAATAAAATATATCCATGGAATATTTTGCATCATAGTAATTTACTAGGTTAATAAGAAAAATCTCTGATGGTATTTCATACTGAGCCAAAACACAAAACCCATTTTCAATAACATAGTTTATTGAACTCTTACAGAAGCTGATTTATAGAAGTGATTCTCTCATTTTATGCTTACAACAACAACAAAAGTGGGGTATGAACAGTTACTATTATTTTATTAGTGAGTAAAGTAATGTATAGAACAGTTATATTGCTTGCAACACAAATATAGCACCTGGATATAACTATGATCTCACATATTTAATTTATCATCTAATTTACTTTATATTTAATTTAGTCAATAGTATTTTATTCTCCTTCCAAGAGAAATAGCCTCAGTACAAGGAAATCAGCTTGTCTATTTCATTCATGCGTGCGTCTAGTCACTCCCGGCATAGTGGTCATGTGTTGAGCTTTGATTTGAGCTTCCATTTGAAAACAGCAGCCATTCTACAGGGGAAAGATGCGGCTTTCGAACAGTTAAGGTCTCAGAAACTCACAGAGGTGGTTCTATCCTGTCCAATAGGGTCATTATGACTCAGTTTTTGAGTTTAATATCTAATATGTGCCAGGCACTATAATAAGCCTGTGTCTCCCTGAAAAGATTACATCTCTAAAAACTAACATAAATATAAATGGTTAAAATATGCAAAATGATATGTGTGAGCCAAGTACCTTGAAAAGAGCAAACTCCTAGAAGAAGCTCGAGAACTCTTCATAGAACTGATGCGTTGCGGGGTGGGGAGGGGGTTGTTTGTTTGCTTTGCTCTGTGTTTAAGGAGAATTTCTCAGGGTAAGGAAAGGAGGAAGGTTCACCCAAGCAGAAGAAACTGCATATGTGGCGATATGGGCATGTGAAAGAACAAGTATACACAGAGAGTGAGGGAACAGGAGGGATAAAGAATGAATGCCAAATGTCTAGCTTCGAAGCCTGGGCAGATGGTGATTTCATTAGAAAACCAGATGTATGAAATAGAGGCAAGCAGATCTGTGGGGTTGGGGATCAGGTTGATGCGCTCAGTTAAAGCAGGTAAGGAAGGATGTCCAATAGGCAGTTTTATGCAGTATTTATATATTGTTGTTGAAGAATTGAGTCTGAAGCTCAAAAGAGCAATCAATGTTGGAGAAATAGACTTGGGAGTCAACATTAGCAGTAGAAGCATTATTGCAATTTGAAAGAGGGGTCTAGATGGTAAGAGTACAAAAGAGCCAGCACTCATCTATATGTAAGCAGCAGTCAGGGGAAAGGACAATACTGAAGAAAGTGAAGAAGGAGTTGACAGCACTAAGAATGAATTGTCTGTTCTCAGCCACGTGGTCTTTGTGCACTCCTGAAAGGTGTCACAAGAACATTAATTGCTTTTAATAAAATTGTAAAAAGTATTCATTGATTTGGTTTTTTTTTA